ATGTGACTTCCAGAACAAAATTCCCCGTTTAAAAAGAATTTTCTTTTATAGATGGTGGACTAAAATGGACGATACTATGCCTCGCCAAGAACTTCTTCAGAAAATCAAAGAGTATACAAAGGCTTGCTAGGATGCTACTCCTAAACTCATCCTAGCTGCTCCAGTCCAGAATCCTTTTGTTCAAATTCAGAATGAGTTGAGACAAAAATATCCAGCACTTTCTGAACAAGAATTAGTCATTAAAAGTATAGACTACATGAAGGAACAATTTCTCCAGTCATTATCCAAAGATAATACCAGTATAAAATCTGGTAATAGTCAGGATGATCCAGAAGATGAAGGCCATACTGATCAATATGAAGATGAAAATGAATTTACAATATTAGCAGGAGAGTCACAAGATCCTACAGAAGCTGATCCCAACTTTGGAGATTTTTGGGATTCTCTCACTGGCTTGATTGCAAAAAAGATGAGTCAGGACAAACAAGATGAAGGTAAAGGAAAAGCTGATTGATGCTTTGTCCCCCATTACTTTCCAGCACCACAAAACGCCAAATTTGCTTTCGGCCAAAAGCAGATGCTCCAACTGTCTTCCTACCGACACTATTCAGGGAATCACGAAGAGATAAGATGATCGACTCCAAACCATTCAGGACACGCCACTTGTCTACCTTATCCCTATCTTTTACTTTCTATTTTCTATTTAAGGGAGGCCTCACCCTTGTTGAAGGCACGTATTAAATTTTAAGTTTTTCCGTTTCTAAGTTTATATCTCTTTCTCTCTCCCAGTGTGTAATATTATAGTTTGCAGTGTGAAGTATAATAAAAGTTGGAAGAACTGGTTGTAAGTATTTCTTACTGTTCTTTTAATGCATGACTGTTTATACTCTTGTTATATTAAATGATATATTAACTTTTCATATTGGAAGAAGAAATAATTTCTTAAAAAACTATTTATCTATTTGGCCTAATGACTCTTGGGGTCTCCAGCAGCTAGAAGAAACTGAGCGCTTAATTAACCAAGTCCAGTTGCAAATCCAGGACCAAATCTCCCTCTTGGCTACGGCCGTTAGGACTCCCCCTCCAGCACAGTAGATCATGAGACCATAAATGTGGTAATTAGGATAAAATAAAATAAAATTATAGTTAATAATATTCTTGGGTTTGTGCTTAATGATGGGTAGTACAGTGCTAGGGTTAGTGGGACGTCACCCAAGTCGCGTAGAGTCAGACCAGTAGCAGTGATTGCGGTTAGGTCATCCTCGTAAGCCGTTGACAGACGTGCTAGCTTTATCCTGTGTCAAGCACCATTATTGTGGCAGCTTGACAATAGGATGGCGTCACTTGCTTGAAGTCAATTGCTTTTGTTGAGTTGATTTTTTGAATTCTATGATTTTGTCAAAGATCATTTAATCCACTTAGTAGCCCAATAGATGCCAAGTAGGTAGATCAAGTACTACTGGGAGCACATCCTCCTTATTGTTCCTTTGCTGGGACAAAATGTAGCATCGCACGTAAATTGAGACAACTCTTCCAAAAAGCTGGCTAATGTTTTAAACTGGGTCCCTAAACATAATGATAGTTTCTTTGTTCTTGATGCTGTTTATTCTAATTTTATATTTCTATTATGATTTCAATATATTAGTTTTCGCAGGACATAGCATTAGAACAATATTTTCTACTTTTATATTCCTATTATGGTTTCAGGACATAGAATTAGAACAATCAAGCCTAGCATCATAATTTAATTATATTGCCACTGGGTTTAGTGGCAAAACCAACATTTTGGCTTAGGGGCAACATTAAGCAAAAACCTAAGTTTATATTGCCAATGGGTATAGTGGCAGAAACAATATTTTGGCTTGACAAAGTTTTGTCCAGTTTCATAGGCTTATTCCTCACTCAGTTGTGTAGTTATGAATTATAATTTTAAAAAATCACATATCTATCCTTGCAGTTAATTTTACATTTGATCAATTAACTCGTTTAAGGATTCCCAGTGGCAGAGAATATATTAGGAGAACTGCATACGTATCAATTTGCTTCTTTCCTTTTCTTTCTTGAAAGTTTTCTATTTGATTCTCAACTGCAACCATCTGATTGGTGGTTTGATTGGATGAGGGTGGGTGATGATTTGGATATAATGTATGTTTACCAAACACAATTCATACACATTCTCACACAAACTATAATGTCTCTTTTAATGTTTATGTTTGTGATTAGGTAATGATTTTCAATTTATGTATTTAATCAATTAATGGACTGGTGTGTTTAGAAGTAGAAGGAGAATCGAATCTCTTGATCCTTTTGTTAATTGTTAATATGATATTGAAAGAGTTGTTTTCATTTGGAAAATTTGACTTAATTCACCCTTGATTGTTTAATATTAGTTTGATTTTTAGTTTAATATTAGTTTCCTTTTTATTTTTCAAGTTTTTATTTACTTTAAGTTAAAAGTTTTTTTCACACAACATGCATGGTTTTTGTAGGGAATGTTTTAGCACTTAAGTACAATCTTTTCAATCATTCCAGTTTTTTATCTTTTTGAGGTGGTGGTAATTTTCACTTTATGGTTAAGCCTTCTAATTGTTGAATTTAAAAAAGCCTTCTAATTATTGCATTAGGCACTACCTAATAAATCACAAAAAAAATACTTAGCAATTGCTAAATTGTGAATTCCTATACTTAGCAATTCATATTCATTTTTTTTTTCTTTTTTGGATACAATATTCATATTCATATTCATATTCATTAAGCAGCAACATGTGAATTCACAAGTCATGATATACACTAATCAAGAGACTTGGGAACTAAGTTGAAAGGTGCTTGATCATATGTATCAAGAAGGGTTATATTAAAATATTTTTTTATGTTCAATTCCTGTTAATTCATAGTTATTGGTTTCTCTGTTTCTCAAAGGTACTTTGGTGTGATTTTTCCTGTTATGATTTCTTTTAATTGATTTTTTAAAGTGAATTCAAGCATTGGAGTGATTTTGTTGCAGGTGACCAATCCACCTTAGAAACGTTGGGATTGTGTTGTTTTTCTGTGTGTTGATGGTTGGCTCTTTCATTCTAAATTGGATGATTAATCTTTTTTCTTTTTTCTTTTTTAAAACTAGGATGATTACTCTTTTGTACCAAAATGTTCATTCACCATTTCTTGAAGCTTTGAAATTCGATAAAGCGAAAAGGTTACTCAATTATAATACTAATTTAGACACATTCTTTTATTGAAGGTTGTCCCATTCTAACTCACTATATATGTATAATTTTGGCGTGAATATCTTTGCTAATGTTGTACACAACAGTTTTATATTATAAATTTGCTATATAAACTTTAATTATGAAGTTTGCCAATACTGTAATTTGCTATTTCAACTTATGTGTGAAGTTTTATATTGCAATGAAATTGTTATCATTTTGAATTAATTTATTACAATTGATTTATGTAGCAGTAAAATTGTTATCATTTTGAATTGATTTATTTTAATTAACTTTTTGTAAAGTATGTGATACCAAGATTATTTACACCGTGCCTTCAGGCACGGCCATACACTAGTTATTTAATATCGAAGGGTGATAAAATCAAGGTACTACTTACCAAACACAAAATACACACCCACACAGATATCACAGAGAGAGAGAGAGAGAGAGAGAGAGAGAGAGATATCCAAGTTTGGGCTTGGTAAAGAAGTGTATTTTGCTTTTACACTAGTCAATTAAACTATTTTGACAAATACTAAAATTTTTGGTAGATGAGCATATCCTACTTTTACCAAGTTGTGCACTTTCAACACAGTAGGGGTGAGTCCAACCTAATGTAACTAGGTGCCTAAGTACCAATCTTAAAGAATGGCCAAGGCACCAAGGAGGCACCAAATTCTCTTCTTTTATGTCGATATTGGACTAGCAAAGACCATCAACTGATTTCTCTTGGCAAAATCCGACATATTAACACAGTACCAAACATTTTATATCTAGATCATATAATTCCAACTACTCCCACCACAATATATATATATATATATATATCCAGACCTTGTTCAAGAAATATCTAAGGATCTCTGGCAACATTAAATTGATTTATCATTCTATGCTTGCATAAAGCAAGGAGTTTCTATGACTACTTGTGATTAAGTAAAGGACCCTTATTCCAGTCACCATTACAGAAAATCAACAACGTTGGGACATTTTACTATCTAACAAAATTAATCTAAAACTGGTTTCACTAAACCAAGATCTTCTCACTAGACATGAACTGAGTGACTATTCACTATGCAACTTTAGAGTTGCCTTTCTCTCAAATGACATTAACCATATTTGGGTGCATTACTTGAACTAAGTCATTGAATAAGCTCAATCTTCTGCACTTGAAAATGTAATATCCTGGTTATGAACCAGTCAATTTTCACTCTGGGAAAGTCTTAATTGGTAGACACTAGAGAGTACATGCGTTTCCTTTGACAAGAAGCAGATGCTTTACACTTCCACTCCGATTCTTTAAGCCCCAACTTTATCATTCAACAAAGATCTTGTAGTTTTGTACTAGCCCTCTATGAGATAATAAAATTCAATACCCTGTAGTTTTGGCCAAGTCCTTAATGTACATTTGAAAGGTCTCAATAACCGAAAGAACAGACTTTTGGGCCTGATCCTAGCCTTAAAATATGACATCCTTAGTCACATATAACTAACTTTTCAATTTTTTTTTTTTTTGTTTTGATGACCAGGAGTCTGGACTAGCTTATGCACCTTAACTAATCTCAGATCCACGCAAAGTGCCCCCTCGTAGTGGGAGTTGAACCTGAGACCCCAGGTCCCAAGCTGCACCCAGTAGGCCAACCCCACGGGTTATAACTAACTTTTCACATTCAATGTCCCAAAAACTTAAACAGTCATAAAATGGGTCCAACAATGTATGTATATCAATCTAACAGCCATAATTCACAAATTAACAATATCCATGCTAACACAAATTAACACTATGTTTATATTTTCTTCTCTCTCTCTCTCTTTTTTTTTTTAAGAAAGATTCGAGCAGCGCAAGCAAAATTAAATTGAAGATATAAACAAGAAGGTAATCAAAAAAATGAATTAAAGATTGAAGAAAGCACCTGGAGTTTATGCACTTCGTGGGAGATAGATCTATAGGCATCCATAAGGAGCTCCTCCTGCTTCTCCAAGTGGCTGGCAAATAACAGAAATCAAATCAAATCAAAACAATTCGAATAATAATCATGTATATGCATATTTCTACAATAATTAGGGTTTTACCTTAAGATCTCTCCTGTGTATCTAGGATCCATTTCGATTTAATTAGACATTAAACTTGACGCGTATGATCAAACCCTAGTCCCCGAATTGAAACCCAGTGTCAACACAGTTGAAAAGTAGATTAGAAGGCAATCGAATCGTCGGAGAGTTGGAGAAAACCAGTGCAAGATTGTTAAGAACTTGATAAACAAAATCACAACACTCGCACACCAAACAGAGCCCTTGTCATTTTGGTGTGCGAGTTAATAAATCACCAAAATGACAAAAAAAATATATAATTAAAATATGGCTAATAAATCATCAAATTCTTCCTCTATCAACCCAGCAAATTTTTTCTAAATTAACATTTTCTTAAATTTGTTACAATACCTCAACAATTTTGTTGAGACACTGTTCATTCGTTATATAATTTTTATTATATTTTCTGTAGGAAAATTGGGCCAAAAATTATAAGCCGGTCATCCACCCGGATGTCCCGTGAGTACTATAGCAAAAGAAGGAAAAGTGTCAAAAATTAGCCTAATCGGTCAACCAGCTGGTCAATGACATTTTTTTTTTTTTTTTTTTTACATTTTTTAAGAATTGTTTGGGTGGCACCTCATTAATTTAATAAATAAAAAAAAAGATTAACAAATACAATAAGAAATTAATGTTTTAATAAGATTGAGTTAGAATAGAGAGTTTAATGCAGTGAATACTAAAAAGGTGACTAGTTAAAATAGAAAAAGTGAATTTTGGGTTAAATTAACCTAAAAATTTGAAGAGTCTGATGCGGATACTCTTAGATAGGGGGGAATACGATTTCAATTAACGACAAATAAAAGTAATTTCAGTTTGTCGCAGAAAAAATGTATGTAACTGTTTTTGGAAAAAAAAGAAAAAATAAATAAATATATATATATATGGACAGTTCAATCCAGCTCAGTGGGCATACTTTTGGGTCCCGTTTCGATAATTTAAATTGTTCACATTTTAGAATTTGTCGAGTACGTCATTCTTGTAAAAAATCAAGTCGATCAGATAACGGAAACTATGTATTCGGATCCATTTTGTATGAACTGTTTATTTTCTTACCGTCTATTTTTTTTCATAAAAAATTGATTCAAATACGTGATTATTATTAGGGATACTTACGTGTAGATTCTAATAAGTCGACTTATTATCTAATAGGACCTATGAGAAAAATTTGTCATAAAAAAAGTAACTACTTGTAAGTTTTAACGATAATTTATAAAAATCATGATAAAAAAAGTCAATAATTGTCAATTTTTAACGACATATCTAAAAAATTGACACAAAAAAAATATTTTTAGTGACAATTTTATTAAGATTTATTTTCAATAGGACTTTATAAGAATTAAGTTCAACTATTAAGAACTATTGATAGTTTACTCCTGATTTTTTGAACTTATTTTTTTTTACATAAATAATATACTTGATAAATTTTAAAATATGAAATGTTTAAATTATCAAAACGGGATTCAAAATTGACCCAATAGGCCAGATAGCACCTATCCAGCCTGATTTAGGACAAGAGGAAAACAAGTCACAAAAATAAAGCACAAACACATTTTCTCAGATGAGAAAATTTAAATTGTTTTACACAAAATCACACCAAAATATATGTTGATTTCCTCTCAAATTAAAATCTAAACTTGAGTGTTTAAGAGACTTGGGAAGCCCCAACTACGAATTCTATTTACTTGAATAATTCATTTACTAGCCTATCACCGTGCTATGTACGGAATAATTATAGATATTTATATTTGTTTTAAATTTTTTTTAATATAAAATTTATATTTTTAAAGATTTTTTTAAAAAATAATTTAACAATCTTATCACTAACCATAGTGTATATGAGAAATTAAAAAGGCTACTACAGTAACTATATACGGGTTGTATCTATAATTATTTGTATGAGGAGATTTTAAATGCTGATTAGGGATTTTGACCAAATCAATAAATACAGGTACGTGAAAAGACATGTGGATTGAAAAAAATTTAATAAATACTGATCAGGAGATTTTGACCAAATCAATAAATGCTGAGTTTTTTTTTAATAAAAAATTTAGAAAATTAATTTTGGGAGATTGGAACTCTATGTGAATTGTGATTTTTAAATTTTTTTTTTAAATGTCTTCTTTTTTTCGTTTTTTATATTATATTAAAGTTTAATATTTTGATAATAATCATATGTGTTGGACTTTTCAATGAATTAAATGTCTTTTTTTATTATTATATTATATTAAACTTTAATATTTTGATAATAATTATATGTGTTGGACTTTTCAATTTTTTTTTTATGCTTGTTCTTAATGCATTAAAGTGTTATTAAGAGAGATAATAATCATATGTGTTGGGACTTTTTAAGGAATTCTTATGTGTTGGATTTCAAAGAATTTTTTTTATACTTGTTCATAATTCATTAAAGTGTTATTATGAGGGTAAGACTTTGGAGTTAGAAGAAGTTAATAAATGCAAAGATTTTTTTTTTTAAATCAAAAAATCAATAAATTTAGATTGGGAGATTGGACCTCCCACAAGGCTTGGGATTAAAAACCCCTTTTTGCTTAATATATAATACTAGCATATCACCCGTGCTATGCACGGATTGTGTTTACAATTATCTATATATGTGAAATGTGATTTTTAATTTTTTTTTTAATGTCTTCTTTTTTCATTTTTTATATTATGTTAAAGTTTAATATTTTGATAATAATAATATGTGTTGAATTTTTCAAGAAATTTTTTTTATTCTTGTTCTTAATGCATTAAAGTGTTATTATGAGGGATAATAATCATATGTGTTGAAACTTTTCAAGGAATTCATGTGTTGGATTTTAAAGAATTTTGTTTATCCTTGTTCTTACTGCATTAAAGTGTTATTATGAGAGTAAGACTTGGGAGTCAGGAGAAGTTAATAAATGCTAAAAAAAAATTTAAATCAAAAAATTAGGAAATTTAGATTGGAAGATTGGAGCTCCCACATGGTTTGGGATTAAAAACTCCCTTTTGCTTAATATATAGTACTAGCATATCACACGTGCTATGTACGGATTGTATTTACAATTATCTATATATGTGAAGTTTGATTTTTAAATGTCTTTTTTTTTTATTTTTTTGTAAACGTCTTCTTTTTTTTTTCCTTTTTTATATTATATTAAAGTTTAACATTT